CAGACTCAATTATTTACCGACCGCCGCTATGTGGCTGGAATGTTGCTGTGTGCGGCGTTAAACAACAAACCAAGCAACCAACCCATGATTCACTTTTCCTCTGGGAATAATACTCGGTCAACTCTTGCTGATCTTAACACGGATGTGGAAAATTACCCGGATATGTGCACTCGTGCGTACGTAAATCAGTGGAATAAAACTGTGGCGTTATTTTCATGTAGAGTAAATCAGATTTCTTGAAGAATATTAATGTATTATCTCTTAAAAATATCAGTCACATTGACAGGGTTGATTCAAAACAGGGAGGGGAAGAGTCACAGGCAAACATCATACCCTTTAAAATATAGTTCAAATGAACGTTTTGTTTGAACATAAACTATCTCTTTGGACAATGCGTTACATAGTGAATCAACATGCGTGTATATTATCGGACAAGGATGAAATACGTACCATAGAGTAGTTACCAAGCAGACATCTTCTAGGGAGAGGAAGTGCCCGATTCTAATACAAAAAGCGATGATAGTATCTTACGACTAATTAGCTGTGTCAAAGATGAAGACTAGGTCAGAATACATTTTGGGTGAGTAAGTGATAGAGTGAGTTTTACGCCACACTCAGCAGTATTCCAGCTCTATGGCGTCCGTCTGTAAATAATTGAGTCTGGACAACACAATCCAGTGATCAAAAAGCATGAATATCGATCTGTGCAATTGGTATACGACGACATGTGTCAACCTGGTCAGTAAGCCTGACCACCCGATACCATTAGTCGCCTTTTACGACAGGCATCGGTTACCGAAGACCCATTCTACCATGACTTCAGTAAACACTGGATTGTGATTGGTTAATTAAAGCCATTCAGAGGTATATAATCACTTTATACAGGTATCTGTTTTCCGTGCGCAATCATACATGGTTTACGGTAATGCACTATTTTTGTCTGCCCACTAACATGGCGGTGACCAAACAACCTACCGATGCATCGATAAATTACGGCGATTTTACTGTCGGAAATTACACATATGTCTTTAAAGATGGATTTAGCGATGACGGGATCGACTCACTACTTGCGTAAATCACAGCAATAGGTGTTTATACATACAAAAGTACTTCGAAAGCATGGAAAAAAGTATTCAGTCGAACAAGATCAAAACATCGTCTGCTTTCCGAATAAAAATTCAGCAAAAATAAAATATGTTTACGTTGATTCTATGTAATATCAGAATAGATCCAGCAATGGACTGCTACATAATTTCCGTGTTAAATTCATTATCAGCTTTCGTCAACGATATCCCCACTGATCTTCATCCGGTAACGGAGGATGCATTAACATCGAACGCCTAAGAAATTTTAATGCTTTCCGTCCACATAAAGAAACAGTTAGGTCATCAATTCAAACAAAATGATATTTTGAAATTTGTACTGTTTCAAATTTAGCGGTAGTAAAACACAATATTACAGAATCTGCAAACCGTTCTGTTTAGCCTTTTTTTTTTAGATCTGAAAGTATAATATCGTTGAAAATGTTATTTAGCTTAGTCATGATCCCTCTTATCCATTACACTGCTTGATCTAAAGTAGTCTATTAAAGTATAATTAATTACCTTACCGTGTTAATGCCAGAGGTACACCCTCATGTCCTGATCCATACTTTCGGAAATATCACCACAAATCTGTCTTTGTCAACACACTCGGGAACATGCCAGCAAATCCGATTCAATTTGAATTCACTACACTTTGAAGCCACTAGGTCACAAAACACTTTCCAAAACGTAGAAAATAATATCCGTAGAATAGAATTTGAGCACAAAGTACACACATGAGTGTGTAAGAGTCACCACAGCTGTCGCACGCAGACGTAGAGGTGCGTGAAATCGTCAAGTTGACAGGGCGCAAAATTCAACAGTATCTAAATTTGGTACAACGGACTTCTCGTTACAGCAAAAGCGCCTCCACTCTTAAATTTTGTACCAGTACCAGTAATTAGATATCAAAGACTATCTCAGTCATACAATCAGGTTAACCTTGCGTAAACTGTCAGACGCTCTCCTGTCGCATCTTTCCAAATTTGCACGTAAATGTAAACAATGACTTCCGAGAAAAGGTCAAGGCCATGAGGTTGCTGCCATTATTCTGGTGGGGTAAGGGTCTACGGTGGAATTTTCAAATGTGAACCAAGCCTTTTAAACTTATTTGATAAATGTGTTTCAACTTATCAGTTAATGATTGGTAATTGATGCATTGAAAAACAAAACGTGATTTGTTATTACTGAATTTGGAGTTTGTTAGTCATTGACGGTTTGCCACCAATCACCCCGTTTCGGGCGATGCCACTTGAGATTGGAATGCGAGGCCGCTTCACGTATTGACTCGTAACCAAAGAAAGAGCTCCACCTGAAATTGTTCATAAAATTGTCATGGCAGAACGGAGATAAACCTCCTGTGTTGGAAAATCAGAGGTATATAACGAAATTATAATAGCTCTAAATTGTCCGGTTTTAAATGAAATTTAGAGCTATTATAATTTCGTTATATACCTCTGATTTTCCCACACAGTAGGTTTATCTCCTAAATATATGAACATGCCATTACCTTGATAACATGTTATTCATGACAACATGATGCTATCATATGAATAAATTATATACATACATTGTACATATGTGGTTGTGTTCCCTTTCTCAATTGAAATACTCGCCTATTTCAAATGACATCAGCATCGCATGCAGTTGTCACAGCTGGTACAGTGAGAGTTGAGTTTTTAGCAACATTCCAGCTTTATGGCGGCCTTCTGTAAATAATCGAGTCTGGACCAGACGCTCAAGTGATCAACGACATGAGCATCGACCTACACCAAGTCAGCGATCCTGACCACCCGATCCCGGTAGTCGCCTCGACACGACAAGCATGGGTTGTCAAATATTTTGTCTTCTGATTTTTATCATTATGTGGTTAGGAATGGCGATTTTAGATTTATTTTACCTTAAGGACAGTGTCTTGGAACTATTTACAAACGTAATGTTGATAAATAACAAAACTTTTTAAGACTTTTCTGAAAGATATCTGATTTAACTTGCAAACGTGTTTCACGAAAGAATGATTAAACAATAGATAGCTTTATCTAAACTTTTAAATTGTACCGATAAATCTTGCAAAATGTGTTATGTGTGCTATGTATGGCCCGTCCCAAAAAGAAACGATGGATAGAAAAACATCCTATTTATGTTTCAAGTTTAGGTTTAAATAAAAAGGCAGGATATTTTTACCATATAATTACGGCGGTGTAGAATACTGTACTTTAAAAAAAGTCGAGGTATTAATTTTAAATCAAGAGCAATATAAATACTAGTAGCCCTCGATATTTCAGTCTATTCATATCACCTTTCTGTTATTCACTTCAGGGCAGTGGGGTAGCCTAGTGGTAAAAGCGTTCGCTCGTCACGCCGAAGACCCGGGTTCGATTCCACACATGGGCACAATGTGTAAAGCCCCATATCTTGTGTCACTACCATATTGCAGGAATATTGCTAAAAGCGGCGTAAAACATACTCACTCACTATAATTTACAACCCCAGAAATCAGACACGAAACATTCCAGTGTACATGGTACATAATTATAAACAGGATTGAACAATACAATACCTCGTAAATGTGATAAAAGTAATTCGGTATTAAAACAGCAAAATCTAAATGATGTTCAAGTCATGATAAGCGAGCTACCAGCCCCGATAGTGTGTTTTCGTTCTATAACAGAGAGGTGTATATTTCACTTCCGCATACCCATGTCACGGGCCATGAGATGCGGTCGATCGGCCAAGTGAAATCAGGTGAAATTGAGAGGTGCAGTACTGTTACTGCCATTGTCATACATGACTGCCACACCCATGTGTCAACAAAGGCATGCGTTATCTCGCATGGTCTAGGGAACAAGTGTTTATGCGGGCTTCTTAGAAAGCCATTGAGACAAGTGCGCACCGGAACAGCTATTCCGGGCGTTCAGTAATCTGAAGAGGCCCTGTTTGGGTTTTATAGTTTTGTCGGATGTGTGTGGCTTTTTACACCGCTGTGAAATATCAGTTTTCCTGGGTCCTGTTTTCGAATATGATAACCGTGCTTGAATGATCGTATCCCCTATACGTAACAGACTTACAATGGCTGTATCGTTAATAGACGTTTTGTGAAACGACCCGCGGCGTCTGTGAGTCATAGCAGACATATTTGTAACCATGTGAGGAGTAGAACCCGGTCCTTTTGTCGGAGGTGCAAGCGCTGTAATCACAACGCCAGCCCACCGACTCCTTACCACACCGTGTGACCTTAGATTACAGGGGGCTTTTTTCACAATTTTTAATTTTTTAGAAAAATAATTCACTGAGCACTTGATTATGCAGAAAATAATAACCGAGTTCCCTAACATTAAAAAATATAATGTTCATCTCAAACCAAAGTTCCACAAGAGTTAACTCAAATGGATCGGTTGTCATAGACAAGGATCGATGCTCATGTCTTCAGTCACTAGTTACGTGGTACAGCTGGAACTTTTGTTGACGGGCGTTTATACATTCACTCACTCATTCAAATAATAACTATAAGATACAACGGAAAAACGGTATCGCAGAAACACAAATCATATAAAGTATTAAATTTTGTTAAGCGCAGGTTTTCTTGTACTGTAAAAATGAAAATGATGAACGTCGAACAGCACGAAATGCACGAACTGGCTTTATCATTGGTCATTATATCAACCACTGGTTCAGCGGGTTCAGATTCGAACATTTACAGACCTCCCTGGCAAAGCTGAATCCAGCGGGTGATACGTCACAACCCAAAACGGGCCTCACTGATTTCTCGTCTGTAAGACTCATTGTCTCTGTTGTCAAAGGAAAGGCTATGTTGAAATTCAGGATATATTACATTATCTGTCTGGATGATGTTGACAACAATTGAAATAATGACGTCACAGAGACCCGGATGTGTTCATCTATATATACCAAGTCGTCTATTCATTCAATCTACAGTCTTCTATAGGCGTATTTCAATCATCACTCAACGATGCTTGCATTTCAACACACCTGGAAAGGCCTACTTTTGTTAGCCTGTTTGTATACATGCTCAGGTAAGTTTTGTAATTTACACATAGGTACAAGTGTTCATTTTTTTCTAAATAATCCATTGTAACATGAACTCGCTCAATCCTCCACCTATGACAAAAAATGAGTGAGATCAGATTGATAGTCACTTAGGCCATACCGTGACTAAAACAAATCATATATTGATAACATATAAAGTTATAAAGGAAATATCTGTCGACAAGGGACGGTTAAGCAACTACAATATCACAGTTGGAGATTTAAAACTGGCATGTAACTTAGAAATTATATCACTATTTACCGTTAACATTAATAATCAACTATTATATTAATTAGCTCTGTTAACATAATAATCAACTATAATATTAATTAGCTCTAGTCCTAATATTTACGACATTATCATATAGGAAATAAAACAATGCAAAACAACCAATTCCCAAATTTCATCTGTTTCGGTTTCAAACATAACTTACTGATCTTAGCTTATCTGTGCATGTTCTGGTCTGTCAACCAAGTGCCCCCTTTCAGTATGCAACAGAATTTTGACAATAGCTCTTTGTGCGGTTTAAGGTGCTCGCTGTGATAAATGCAACGACATTCCTAAACACAGAGTCACAAATATTCCTTTTATGGTGATGTTTTCTATCTTGTCTACCCTTTTATTGCCCTATTCATCGCTTCTTTGTTACACCTAAATAACATGCATTGGTTCCAATTTCGACTTGAAGTAATGAAGACTAGAAATGCAGATTAATAAACATATTTATATTTTAGAGGCAAAGTTAGAAATACACAATCACAGGTATAATATCAAATAATATTTTGATACGATTGTAACATATTTTTGATGCCATAATATTACAATATTCTGATAAAATGAAATTACATATTTGCACACAGGTTTTTTTGGGGTTAGATGTGGTGTCCCTTGTCGGAAGGGATGACCAAACAGATCGAATGGTCAGTCCCGATATAATCGATATCAGTATAGCATCAGTACTCAGTATGGCTATTAGGGGCGATTGGGTAGCCTAGTGGTTAAATCGTTCGCTCGTGACGGTGAAGACTCGGGTTCGATTCCCCACATGGGTACAATGTGTGAAGCCCATTACTGGTGTCCCCCGCCTGATGCTGCTGGAATATTGCTAAAAGCGGCGTAAAACCATACTCACTCACTCTTCCCACATGTGTTTGCCATTACTAACGTTTGTATTTTCTAGGTGCGCCATTGTCGTGCGACCCCGAAGGAAGCGCAGCGTGTTTCTCCAGCTTTAGTCAAGGGATTCTGAGGGTGGCCTTGCCCCATCTGACACAGAATATCAGCGTCCAAAACGCAAACTTGTCCTTCGTCAGTCAGATCTGCAGGTAAATAAACACAACAAAACTTAGACTCTAGTCGCTAAATATATATATAATTTTGATAGATAACAAACAATAATTTTTAAATTGGAAAGAAGCTCCAGTGAAATCTAGACTTGCTTCATTTACATTTTAGCATCGCGGTTCAGGGACTGTGAGACCGACTATACAAAACTCTGAGTATAACACTATAGAGACACCAACTGTTGTGTGTATAACAGGCGCCCACGTTACCAGTGGGGATGAAGTCGAATTTAGCATGTCTTATGTATTTTTCACATCTCACATCTCTTTTAACTTTTGAACCAATTTTTGAACTCGTCCTTGATTATATATACTGAGAGAAACAAATAAGGAATCACAGGAAACTTCAAGCGTTCCTTTATTATTTTCCAGTTTCCATCGCCACAGCGCTATTCAAAACTGGTGATGAAAACTGGAATATATTAAAGGAACTCTAGAATTTTCCTGTGATCCTTTATTTGTTTCTCTCAGTATATAAATGAGAATGAGGGTTTTCTTGTATTGCTATAAAACCATTTTTTTATGAGCCACAATATTACCGATACCATCTTAGATAATATTATAATAATTTCTGTGAAACTGTAACATTTGATCGTGTGAAATTTCTAAATTTTGAGCTATTAAACCTAAATTTTCTTTTTTACTGAACTGATGTTTTCGGGGAAGATATGATATTTTTGGTATTGTGAGATGGTAAAACTGATATAGTTTCCTCGGATAGCGGGAACTTACAATTTATGTGAAACAGTAAGTTTGTAAATGATTTTTACTGTAAAGCACTCCAGCTAATATTTCTTTGACTCAGTGAGTACAACCGCACCTACTTGCCCTGCATTTCTCCAACCCTCGTCGGCTGCCCTGCATGGAGCTATATTACCTACGAGATGACCAGCGCTGCCGTGGAGTACATCTGTCGAAGCAATGAAACGAGTAAGCAGCACATAAGCACAAACTAACTTTTAAAATACGTCACTTATTTTATTCATTGGTATTAGAATGTGTCTGAAACTCATCGCCAAAAATATATACATGTACCTTGTGTACTTATTATGCGTTGAATCGATGCATGTCAGGGCTCACTTGCACAAAGCGATCTTAGCGCTACAATGATTGTAACTCCCATTCTCCAATATAGGTTTAAGATAGTCGTAGCGCTAAGATCGCTTCGTGCAAGTGGGCCCAGATCATCTTGCGTGGTCTTGTGGTGTTAGCTTTGACTTGTCACACTGACTGTCCGGGTTTGGATCCAGCGTGTTGTTGATGTCTCCTGCTGTGATATTTCTGGAATATTGCTAAAAGCGGCGTAAAACTAACTCACTCACTGTTATTGATTATTTACTGCTTAAACGGGCTGAACAATTCTACCTCACTGTGTAACTTTGCCAGGTTCAGCCTGAGAGTGAATGAATTGTATGTTGCGCCAATGATTTGCTTATTGATGATGAGAGTGAGTGAGTGAGTTAGACGAGTTTAACTCCGCTTTAAGCAAAATTCGTTTTATATATTGGTCGGGATTGGGAGTTATTAGCAAAACACATTTACTTCTTTACTTACGTACGGAACAGAACCCGAATATTCGTGAAGAGCCGACGCTTTAACCACTGGGCCATTCATGAATAATCTACGTCAAAATTCATACAGTTCTTATCCACCACCCGTACATCATGCTCGAAATTGGATTCGAACCGGTCTTTAGACTACGTGAAACTCTAGTAAGATTCCCACTGATCGGTCATATTGGCCACCCGTTACTCATATTAGCCTCCCTCCGATAGGAAATGGGTACATGAGTTCCAAGAAGTGTTTATCATTGTTTTCAGTGGTACGGGATGTGCTAGCGTGTGTGTCAGTGCCGTCAGTCGCTCCTGCAATCATGGCCTGCAACGAGGCTGCCCTGGCGGCAACCAAACCGTGCCAGTAAGTACACCTGCTCAGCCCAACCAATAAACTTGACAAAACAAACGTTCCTAACTGATGTCATTGAAAAAGTTGAAGTTTCTTCTTTGTACGTTCTATTATTTCAAAATTCATGTATAATAATATATTTAATCATACTTATGTGATGGATACTTTGGATAACGACTCAAAAGTCATTGATGGCAACTAGGTCCGCATGCACAAAGCGACTTCAGCATTAGGATGATCGTAACTCACATGCTCTAACACTGACTAAAGATGAGCGTAGTACTAAGATCGCTTTGTGCAAGTGGGCCCTGAATCGTTCCATTTACTAATTAGTCTCTGAATATATACTCGAGAACAAGGGACAAGTCTTTTTAAGATAACCAGTTTTGGTCGTTTATTGTTTTAGTTTGTACAGATATCTTTGTTGATGGTGATGAAGAATGCTTCATATTAACTTCAAATGTAAACAATCGGTCCAATTCCCTTTCCTCTTTTCCCAATTGCGTAGATCGTTACTCATGTTGTTGATCACTGGGTTGTCTGGTCCAGACTCGATTATTTACAGACAGCCGCCATATAGCTAGGATATTGCTGAGTGCTGTGTAAAACTAAACTCACTCACTCACTCACTTACCTTTACTCTTTCCTTTCAGCCCAGCTTATACTTGGCAGAGATGCGTAGCTGACATCACCTCCAACGTTTGTTCCGTGTCTTCTAATGCTGCTTTAAACGATGTCATTGCTCACAGTCTGCAGCCCATGTTTGACTTGTATCCTTGTCAAGACAACTATACTTCTGTAACGTCAGAACCTGAACCTGAGATCACGAGAGAAACAGGTACCCCTGAACCAGAACCTGAGATCACGAGAGAAACAGGTACCCCTGAACCTGGACCTGAGATTACGAGAGAAACAGGTACCCCTGAACCTGGACCTGAGATTACGAGAGAAACAGAACCGGAACCGGAAGTGACAAGTGGTGAGCTAACTTATAGTTAACAATTGAATTTCACCCTCTGTCATGCCACTGTGGTTAGACAGGATGAAAGATGTATGAAAGAACGCGTCCAATCATTTATTTTTTCAAGTTAAAAAATATTGGAGGCTCTTATTTTCCAGCTCCAAGTGCTGTGTGTGACTTGATGTCCTTCAGCATGTGCAGCGCAGAACTGAACCAGGACCTGCAGGTGTGGGTGGCGAACCTTATCGTCTCTGGACGCTTCAACGACTCAGACCTCGATACACTTTGCAGGTACATATAATTCTCTTTGATCCTTTTATTGATTCCCGTCTGTGAATCATTTGCTTAAAACCAGGGCCTAGATTTTCGAAGCTCTTTTAGCGCTAAGACAGTCGTAAGTTAATGTTAATGTATGGCACTTACGACTATCGTAGCGCTGAGAGAGCTTCGAAAATCTAGGCCCAGGGCCCGTTTCACAAAGCTATCGTAGCACTACGACTGTCGTACCTCATGTACTATAAGTAACATACTACTGTCGTACCTCATGTACTATAAGTAACATAGACTTACGACAGTCGTAGCACTACGACAGCTTTGTAAAACGGGGCCCAGGCCGTATATTCCAGCCCTTTAGTCTCTATTCATGCCCCGCAATCGCTGCGCAGAGTGGCGTCCCTTTGGAATGCTAAAATCTGTGACTGTGGGTTCGAATCCCAATTTGACTATTTATGGTTCTTGGTTTGGTACGGCCTGCATCACTTTGGGCTCTTTTCCAATGATGATGATATAAAACCATAAATGAAACGATGTTTGAAGCATTAAAACAAATTCACTCACATTTACAAACAACAATCGGCGTTATTTTGTGCTTCAACAAATGTTTATCTGACAGGTCCAATTACACTGAAACAAGTGTGCAAAGCACCGTCAAACGCCACCTAACTATTTTGTAATTTTTCTGATTTGATCACTGTTTCAGAGTTCACTACAGGAAATACCAACAATGTGTTTGGCCGTTGACCTCGGGATGTCGCAAAGACACGATGTTAGTGCGTGACATAATGGTTGCTGCTTTCGACTTCATCTGCTCTGCCGACATAGAAGGTACTGTTGGGTTTGCATGATATCATGCTTATCCGTGTGACGTCAGACCGCGTGACGTTATAATCGTTTCACAGCCTCGTGGCCTAGTTTAGTTAAATCTACTATGAAATGGATTTTATATGTTAGTTTGTTATCAAACAATAATCAAATTAGGAAAACTACTGCTATCAGAGTATGTTGCGTGATGTGATTATCATATGAGATGGTAAAACTAGTAAATACAGTTGCAATACGGACTCCCCATAATGATGGCCGAGCAGTACTGTTTGTATGAGTGAGTGAGTGAGTAAGTAAGGTTTTACACCACTTTGAGCAATATTCCAGCAATATCACAGCGGGGGGACATCAGAAATTGTTCTTCACACATTGTACTCCTGTGGGGAATAGAATCCAGGGCGAACGAACTCTTTAACCAGTAGGCTACCCCACAGCGCCTGTCCTGTTTGAGTTGATTGAGAAGTTGTATTAGATTCCGGCATGTCGTAACGAAGTTTAAGCGACACGTGGCCTTTACCTCTTCGTTTTGCAGCATAGTGTTTCATACACTTTATTTTTCACAACAGCAAAATTACTGCCCTTCCAAACCAGAAAATAATACTGATAGTGTTCAGTCTAAACTGTTTATATGTCAGTTTGTGCCGGGTGCAAAGTTTCCAACAGTAGACTTTGTTTAAAGTAATGCATATTTCATGCATCACTTAAGGCTGCATACGGCAGAGCTGGATTGTCCTGAATACGTTGAATTAAGCTGTATTCGATTATATCTATTTGCATTTGATGTCTATGGCTTATGTTTTGTATTAACTAGTCTGGGATAGTTTCAATAAGGTACATGTCCCCAAGTAAAATATATCCTATGTTTGGAAATAGAGTGGTTTAATTTGACTGACTGACTGACTGAGTATGGTTTTACGCCGCTTTTAGCAATATTCCAGCAACATCACGGCGGGGGACACCAGAAATGGGCTTCACACATTGTGCCCATGTGGGGATTCGAACCCGGGTCTTCGGCGTGACGACCCAACGCTTTAACCATTAGGCTACCCCACCGCCCCGGTTTAATTTGAAACTCATTCTTTATGTTACAGATCTGAGAAGCACAATTCCCTGCATATCCCAGCCTGGCTTTACACAAGAGCTGCGGACATGTGCTCTGGCATCATCTACTTCAGGAATGTGCAGGTTAGTGTCACTAGGACAGTGCGGTGTATTTTCTGGTTAATCATAAGAAATCAGTCATCCACAGTTCCGAAACAGTGATCAGTCCTCAAATCAAGTTGTGAATATAAAAATCAGTGACTATGGTTTTACTCCGCTTTTAGCAATATTCTAGCAATATCACGACGGGAGACACCAGAAATGGGCTGCAAACATTGTACACCTGTTGGGAATCGAACGGCGTGACGAGCGAACGCTTTTACCACTTTGCTACCCCACTGCCCCGAATATAAAAAGATATATAACTCAAAACGTGAACACTTACAGACACTCTGTTCCTTTCAGTTTTGCAACGAACTACAAAACGTGTGTGTCTAACGTCACTTCCGGTTGCACCGACCCTGCGCAACAGGTCATCAGTGACCTCGTGGACAACCTACTGAAGCCACTGGAAGAGATCTTCCCCTGTGACGTCGACGTTACCACTGTCGTATCAACGCTTTTCACCTCAACAACACCCAAGACACCGGTCACGTCAACGTTCAAGACAACAACCTATATTACCCCAACACCGGAAGTGGTCACTGGTGGCGTTGTCATTGGGGAAGGTGAGAAACCTTTGTTCATGTTGGGTATACTAGAATGTGGTGTCATTCACGAGCTGTGGATGAGTGAATGGATGAATATGGTTTAATGTCGCTTTGAACAGTATTTCTGTCGGCCTAAGCTTGATTGAGGAGGAAATGTTAGACGTTCACCTCTTTCGTGAAACGGGGATAGCCTAATGGTTAAAGCGTCCGTTCGTCACGCCGAAGACCCGGGTTCGATTCCCCACATGGGTACTATGTGTGAAGCCCATTTCCCCTGCCGTGATATTGCTGGAATATTGCTAAAAGTGGCATAAAACTAAACTCACCCACTCACTTACTCATGATTTCAAACCCTGAATTGTCTTCTCCAGACTTATTTACAGACCACTTTCATTTTTTTTCGCAAACTAACAAACCACTCAGACCTCATCTGAAATGTGAGAGAGTATAAGAAAATGGAATAGTTTCTATAATGTACAGACGTAAAACCATACTCGCTCACCCACTCTTTCGTACAACCCACGAAACAATAGTGATGACTAACCAGGAATAATATGGCGACTCAACGATCATGCGACACTCTTTCCAAAACCAAATAACCAAAACGTTCATGTGAATGCGAATGTGAATTGTTAAGTGTTATCATGCAACCACTGATTTATATAACCTGCCAGATTTCGTGGTTATCATTAGAGACGACCAAACTTGGAGTCGATATGTTTTCTGCCTGGGTGAAATTTTTAATTATAAGCAATAACCTATCATCATTAGCTGCCAAACAATGGTCTGTCGACCCATGAAGATCCGGATAAGAACTGGTCTTCAGCAACCCATGCTTGTCGTAAGAGGCGACTAACGGGATCGGGTGGTCAGGCTCGCTGACTTGGTTGGCACATGTCATCGGTTCCCAATTGTGCAGATCGATGCTCATGCTATTGATCACTGGATTGTCTGGTCCAGACTCGATTACATACAGACCGCCGCTATATAGCTGGAATATTACTGAGTGCGGCGTAAAACATCAAACGATCTAACAAACAATGAAAAATGCCTGCCTATAACATATAGATTTGTCTTCAGAAGTAGATGTATGTTCTAAATGACACTCCTCATTAGAAGTTAGCATTATTGCAAGGCTATGCATTCTTCCAGGAACCTGTGGACGCAAGTGCCAGGAGCTACTGAACGTGCCGCTTTCACGTGTTGCAACTGCATCGCTGGCTGGCAATTTTACCCTCACTATCTACACAGACGCATGCCCGTGAGTAGAACTGTCTTACTGAAAACAATATGTTATCTCCTTGAAATGAGATTGCATACTCTTGACGTTGCTTTTGGTGTGTGATATGTCAACCACCATCGGACCTGTGAAGGTCCGGGTTAGAATATTGATCTTCAGTAACCAATGCTTGTCGTAAGAGGCGACTATCGGGATCGGGTGGTCAGGCTTTCTGACTTGGTTGACACACGTCATCGGTTCCCAATTGCGCAGATCGATGCCCATGCTGTTGATCACTGGATTGTCTGGTTCAAACTCGATTATTTACAGACCGCCGCCATATAGCTGGAATATTGCTGAGTGCGGCGTAAAACTAAACTCACTCACTCAACCATCATCGTCATTCACTGAAGTCGGTTCTAGGGCCTGTCGTCGTACCCCGACGGCGTGAATAGTTACTCATGACATCAATCACTGGATTGTCTGGTCCAGACTCGATTGTATCCTGGAGCATTGCTGAGTGCGATGTTTAACAAACGCACATATACTCCCAAGATTTTGTATTCAGCAGCAACTTTTTAAGAAAATATGTTTATCGGAATATTTCCATCTTTTTCAGTATTTTTGACAGTTTCCGCGAGTGCATGGCTTCTCTTTCTGAGCCATGTGTAATTCCTGCTCTGCAGTATGGTATCGTCTCTCAGTTTGAGTTCGCCTGTGGAAAAGCTTATAGTGGTAGGTATATGGCTGTGTGGGGCTGGCAATGTCAGGGGAGCGGCGGGGTAGCCTAGGGGTTAAAGCTTCCGACCGACAAGGGAGATCGCATCTAACCCAACACCCCCTGTGTACCAATGGGGGCGGCGGGGTAGCCAAGTGGGTAAAGCGTTCGTTCGTCACGCCCGAAGACCCGGGTTCGATTCCCAATATGGGTACAATGTGTGAAGCCTATTTCTAGTGTCCACTGCCGTGATATTGCTGGAATATTGCTAAAAGCGGCGTAAAACTAAAGTCACTCACTGTAATGTCTTTTTTCATTAGTATACTTATTGCACGAGTAAAAATGAATTTATTTACAAGGACTTTGATCAATTAAATAATGCATTTAAATGTGCAAAAGACAAGAATACCTTTGATCCTTCTTCGAACTGGGTGAAGGCAATGAGCTAAACATTATGCAAGTTAATTAGCAAGTTAACTCCCCTTTTCTACTAATGTCTTTTAGACTCCCAAGTATATAACGTGTAAGTGGTTTCTCTTCTAACGGGGACACTTTTGTTGATGTATTTTAACCAGTGGGTGTAACAAATGGAACTGGTGTTTTCAGCTATTATTGAATACGAGGACTGCTGGGAGAGGGACGACATCCAAGCCTCGTGGAATTCATGTATTACCGAGTTCACCACTGGGATTTCCAATGGGACGCAAAATGGCATATGCAGGTAGGCACACCTTCAAATGCCGGAATGGTTTGGTTTCCATGGAAACTGAACCGATTCAAGAATCACTGGCTCTGTGAGACGCAGCTTGTTATAAAATTTACAAATGTCATATTTCGTTTCATATAAATATTAACTTCATTAATATGGACACCTGAATAACTATAATTCCGCCATAACGATGTACGATGGATCTGGACGATTCCTCGATACCATGGCCGATGACCTCCACTACATGTACTTACATGTCGACACATGTTTCATATCTTCGAGTTAAACATATATATATTTACTGTCCTAATGGATGCGTAAAACACAGGATACTTTGTAAATTGGCAAAATAACCAAATGGAGAACTTTCATTTCATACATCGATAATCAATTAAGGATCAATGAAAAGTTAAAAGGCCCGTAAATCGAACTGTTGAAATACATATGTTCAGACGAAATGTTGCTCATAAGATCAAGCGCCTGTACAAGTTTGCAAATAATACGAAGACAAATGAAAAAAACGTTTCTTCATCCAGTGGATGAGGTTACAGATTTAAATGTGTCAACGGTATTAGATTTAAGAATAAAATGCATACATATTTTCTTCTTCAGACACCTGGACGCCTTTTCCATCTGCATAAGGGAGAAGGTCGCAACCTGTGGACAGGTCCCACTTGCTATAGTGACGGATTACATAAACGCCTCAACATATAGTGTTAGGAGGCTCTCCAACTGTTCTCTGGGACAGCCGACCACCGGACAAACGACGACTACTACGGCTACTACTACGACTACTACGGCTGTCCCAACTTCATCCTCCAGCTCCACCACCACCACCACCTCTGCAACAACTACACCCACCTCAACGACTACCTCAGCCGCCCCCAATTCAACCACGTCTTCACAGCAAAACCAGACAGGTGAGTCCGTAGGCATCAAATCTAAAGAAAACGCTGCATATCTTATCAAATATATATACAGCTCAAGTTAGAGTAGGGATAATATTTATTGATACACAGGTGTGTTCAGCTGCAAGCAACTCCAATTTAAACACACTGTTAATCATGAGACTGACCACATAATCTACTTACTAAGCCTCTAACAATAGAATGTTAGCAAGTTGCGTGCCTGCCCGAGGTAACTCGGGGTCATGTTAGTTATGGCCGAATGTTGTCGGAAAGTAATAATAGTCTATTTATGTTGCGCATTTATCCATGCACATTGCATGTTCAAAGCGCTGACATATTACCCCTGGTCAACGAGTACAGTACACTCCATGTGGAGAACACAACCGGTCGCCCAAGGTTCAAATTCAGACCATCATCGTGGTATCATCCCAGGTACCCAATTTACTGTTGGGTGGGCAGAGGCAATTTTGAAGGAACTCACTGGCCTAAGGTGAGACCACGTGTGCTTCGTTGTGGGGCAGGGCTGAAGTCCTAGAAACTCTCAAGAGTCAAGCTACCAAACACGGTCACCCATCCAAGGACTCTCCGCGCCCAACGTTGCTTAACTTCACCTGATTGTGGCCTGAGCTCTAAGCAACTACACAGTAGAGGGTACATGTTCATACCATCGTCCACTGGTTTAGATGTCTGTGACCACGTAATGGCACACTTATACTTCGTAAAGGAAGACTCCTGAATACGCCCGTTCAATGTCGTTAGTTCTGTTTCCAAAGACTTAGCTATGAATAAGTTCGAAGGTTGTACGTTACTGTCGCTAGTCTACTAGACAGTAGACGGACACCGATAACGACTCCGTGTACCCTCGTGGTTACCAGAACACCCTCCATTCCGCTATCCCGCCCGAGAGTTATATGAACATAGAATTGGTGGATGCATTGATGCTTTGAAGGCACTAGTTCTGATAATGTGCATGTATATTTTTTGCAGTGACCATTCCTAAGCTTCCAATCACCTGCTTCGACTGCAACAGCGGCACCAAAAGCTGGCCTAACCCGCAGTGCACCATCGACGGCCACATCGAAGAAGACCTTGTCGGCAAGACCACCTGCATGGACCGGTGCTTTGCTAAAACCAACAAATGGAATAAGGGAGGTAAGAGTCGAATGTCAAGTTCAAGGTCACCATCTCACAATCACATTGTCACACTATTTCCGTCACCGCTGTCAACTTTACGAAACAACAACTACTACATCAACTGACCACTGTACAAAAACACATCATCCACTACTGTTGTATGTATTCACACAGACATTAATTATTACTATTGCAAGATGACCTAACTCTACGCTCATAATATCAGTCACTAGAATGGTCAACTGGCATTTAGTGGAAACATTCTAACCAACAAACAAAATAGATGATACAGTGATCTAGGGGTGCATCAATTCACTGTGCAGGGTTATGTCCCTTACTCGTGCTAGGATCCGCTCATCGATCGAATCAAAGATTTGCGAAATGGTGTATTCTCTGTGTCATTTGGTATGTGGGTTCCTCTCACAACCCTGTTAAGATCCCAGGTAGAACTGGCCTTCAGTGACCCATGCTTGTTGTAATCTAGTCCGATGGTGAAGACGATAAATGTCATCGTATCCCAATCGCACAGGTCGATGCTCATCATGTCAATCACCGGATCTTCAGATCAACACTCGCTACACAGATCGCTATCAGACAGCTGAAATATTGCGTGCGGCGTTAAGTAGCAAACAAACCACCACATTAACCAAACACGCAGCGATGCAACTGATTTCAATTTTCACCCAAAATAAATCAATATGCCTCTGTTTCCGTTTCAGTAATTTTCCGCGGCTGCGCAGCAGGATTCTGGATGCCGGAAGCCCGTCCCTTGCCTCGTTCTGGATGTCAAATGATCCGTGACGAAATGTGGTGTTTCTGCGACCATGACAACTGCAATGAAATGTCCATGGCGCGCTTTGTTTAAAACACGGGTTTACCCGTATCCGATCTCAGATGCCAATTTTGGCTCGTGTCAGATAAGTGCCACAGCGGTATTATGTATCAGTATTGTACATATCGGCGTGACCTCTCTGTATCATTTAGATAATACCATTTGCCGTAGTCGTAGGTACCATTTCGTTTGACAACAAACTGTGATGATGTTTCCTGTATGCTCAAATAATCCGCCTTTTGATTCGTAATTAACAAATTAAACGTTAGAGAGATTGACATAATAAAATGTGTTCTTATAAGAAGCCCGTACAGACTGAAGCAGAGCGTGATCATGCTGGAACACCTGAGAGATATATGTGTTCAAACACCCGTGAAGGAAATCCTTATGCAATTCATGTATGTACAAATATTTGTATTTACGATATTTTGTGAGATTTATTTTTATTGATGTTTTACAATAAAACACCTGTTTTACATATATGTTTTTATTGTTTAATTTTTTATAACAATGTGTCGCTCATTTTTACTACCAGGTTCTCCTAGGACAGCTTTGTCCCTCCTGGCACTCTGACCGTTACACGTTGGTTAAAATCTACGCTACAATAAACATGGACATGTGCACATACTCCTGGGCCCTGGGGCCTTATTCTCGAAACGTTCGTAGCCCTAAGAATTCTTAACTTTGATCACAGCCAATGCGTTAAGAATGGGCTTAAGAAGTTCGTAGGGCTACGAACGTTTGAGAATAGCTAGCCAGATCCTCATACCAATCGTAGGCTTACGACCCATCAACTCTATACTTTTGTGTCAACTGGGCTTCACAAATATGTGAATCTTTTTGGGGCGCTTCTTCCAGTATTTTGCTGCACGATGATCGAGCGTACAAATAAAATATAATATAAACAAGAAATAGGCTTTCTTCTACACGTGCACAAAAGTACACATAATGTGAAACGCAAGCATTTGTTACTTTTGTGATTGAAATAAAGAGAAATAATAGATGCAACGATAAAATGTGGAAATTGTAATGTTTTTGGAAGATACGTGAAAAGAACATTGAAAACAATTATATAGCTATTTGAAACAAGAGGGTTGTTTGTATTAGAAGTGTGGCAGCCAACATGGCACCTTTAGGCTTTCGTAATATCGCAATCAGTGAGTACATTCATAAATTATATATAAGATGGAAGTCACTGACTATTGGAACTACGTCTGTTTTCCCTATAGCACTAGCATCTATGGAGCCATTTCTACAGCCATGTATCATTTGTCCTTAAGATAATTTGTTTCAACTTATCTCCATGCTTCAATCAAATATTTTGTGGAAAATGTTCGATTTTTGTTGTTGAGATCAGTGTTTCCCTCCATAATTCCAACACTGTTTTGACTCATGTATTACGTGAGACGTGCGACTGACAACAGGAACAGCCAGGCTAATATCCACCGTAGTCGACTGTTATCGCCATGTGCTCAAACTTCATTTCCTAAGGGTTTTTTTACGATAATGTCAAGTATAATTTTTGGAAACGTAATCTTCATGAAAATCAATACTTTAGCTATGTCCGAAATAATCTGATGATATATTATACTGACGAACAAAATAGAGTACACGCCTGGCTACTTTCTTTTGCACGTCAGTGTATAACAGAAGTGTTGAATATGTGTAGTCAATGTGGAAACGCATTGGCCTTTTTTCATGATTTATTTGGATTATGATTTTGTATTTTTGTTTTTTGTTGTCTAAATTAAAGGTAACTAAATGTTAAATATCTCAATCTGTACATGATCTTTTCTCTACTGATATTGTATGAACTCCATTGGCATACACGATTTGTGTTGAAGTGTTCAAGTCAATATTTTCACAGCAGAAAGTGATAAGCAGGTAAAATCCGCTTAATGAATACCAGTGAACTGACGTTGACCGGGCATAATGATCTCTTGACTTTGTTTTAAGTCGAATAGCACGTTGGATAGGCCAAATACCATATGGCGGCGAACAGAATAGTATGTATGCATGAGTCGAACATCACGTTGATGGGTCGAACATTTAAGCGGATGAACCCACTATCGCCGGGATTGCTCGAATATCATGAGGGTGTGTGCAGAATATCACGCGAATGAGTCGAATGTCTAAACCGGATGAAACCATTATCACGTGGATCGTCTTAAATATTGTTGGATGAACCAGAAATCATGTTCCCACTCAACAATACCTCCATTCTTCAACTTTGAAGGGATTAAATGTTTAACTCACTCTTTCTATTTTGCCAGAAAGAATATGTAGATCGTAACGTTATCAGTACAAACTTCTCCTCCTCTCCTCCTCCTTCTTCTCCTCCCAATATCTTCTCTCCTCTTCCTACTCCCCCTCCTCCCCATATCTTCTCCTCTTCTCTTCTCCACGTTCTATAAAGCAAGTAACCTCGGCTGTTGTAACGAGGAAGAAAGGAGCAGCCACAGAATATGTCTCCTGGACAATTACGATCAAACGAACATGTCTAAGTTAAAGCCTTGTCTCACTGAAAAACGTCGCCTGGACTGAACAAAGAATTTCTAGACTTAACAAACGAGGTACTTGACTCGCAACAATGAAAAAGAAGTCATAAATATCGCACCACCCATTTTTTCACTAAGTAAAACTGGATCTTCAACCTCATAAAAACGGTACTTAGAAAAGCACATTAAACTGTTTATATGGCCTCATGTGAGCGTTCAGTGAGAAAACTGACAACACAAGACCGACTTTGAACGCTAATTGGGGGTTTAATTGTAGCAAATTTAAGTTCACTAAAATCATCGTAAAGTAAGGTGAAGTAACTATGGCTGCCGGGGTCGTTACAGCAGACACACAACACAATTCACATTTCATTAATGTTGAACACACCAGTAAGGTCCACAATGACTGACTAACTCAGTTTCTGGTGTAACCGCCTCGCACTTGGATAACATTTTCTACACGCCGTCTCATGCTGGCCACCAGACGTCTGGTTCTCTGTTGGGGGATCTGCTGCCACTCATCATGCAATACATGGGTCAATTCATGAAGGTTCGGAACTGAAGGATCCCTTGTTCTCACCCTACGTCCCAAAATGTCACACACATGCTCAATAGGATTCATGTCTGGACTTCTGGCTGACCTTGGTAGTGTATCAATGGCATTGTGTTGGAGATGCTGAACAACAGCTCGAGCACAATGTGGTCTGGCATTACAGTCCATAAAGACTGGACATGAGCATGGTTATCGAAATGAGGCACTACAGTACCGTCCAGGATCAAGTTCTGGTACCTCTGTCCATTTAGTGTCCCTGGAACTGTGATGAGGTCAATTTTACAGTCATAGGAACATGACGGATCCACCCCCAATTGGAACATCAGCTTGAATGTTCCTCTGATCATATGCTGTGCCTTTCTGTCTCCAAACTCGTGCCCTCCCGTCTGCATGTGGATTCTCCATGTCCTCAGGTTCCAGCGAGGACGTGCTGGGCACGATGCTGAAAAGGCAAGGCGGTGTTGATTTGTGCGGAATGGTCGTCTGATTAGTCGTCTTGCGCTGAATCGTGCAGAATTTAGGCGTCGTCGGATGGTGCTGATGGACACTCTGTTGTATTGTTTTAAACATACTTTGTTCATTAAGAAAAGGATTGGGCACAAGTTATCCAACTTAGAAAAGCCCTCTGTTGTATGGATGCCATCCATGTCGCAGCTGTGTACAAGTAGACTTTGGGCTTCGTCTGGCTTCCCTGTCATTGGTTTTTCTGGGACGTCCAGACCTCGGTGCATCCTTCACTTCGCAGGAAGCAGTATGCTTCCGTATGAGCCTGCTGATAATAGTGAGATTAAAGTTCAGTTGTGCTCCAAACACACGACATGACATACCAGTCTGGTGCATACCCATAATTTGCCATCTATGGTTCCGAGGCACTTAACGCTTGGGCATTTAACTGGTTGGTCAAAATAAAGCTTAATTTATGCCTCAAATCAAACTTTAGCTGTGTGTGCCGACAGAACATACGCCAAAAGAGGCTATGTGCATACTGCAGTCTTAGCAAACCGACCCCCGGAACAAGCATGCTCAACGCAAGCATGCACGTGCAGCTCGGAACAGGGTGTTTGTGATATTATGTTCACGGATGGTGTAGTATATCAAATATGTACCTGTAGTTTCAAAAACCGAAAATTATATTTTCTAATTTGACTTTAAAATGTATGGTGCGATACTTTTGACGAGGTGTATATTTAGCTCAGCAACACCAGAAGTAGTCAGGACAAGATCAAATCGTCAATTTAATGCCTACTACAAAGTTTCCACCTGACAGTAAGAGTACGACCCTGTCCAGCAATGGCTGACGACGATTTGGGTTGAAAACCCCCCAAGGTTTTTATGTACCCGACGCAAATACTGACAAGCAGGGACCCTAAAGGCCAAAAAGGATTAATCAAAATTGTGTTGGATAAAATATGGAAAACAGGATTAGAAAACTAACTACTAAACAACAGGGGAACATACGCTACCTAAAGGCAACTATAAACATTTACAACTAAACTTGTACAATTCTTAGGGTGTCAAGCTCCGTGATACCAGGTCATGCTAACACAGGGTCCCGATCATGGTCACACTGGAGCCGCGTCATGCTCACACTCAGTAAGTCAGTGACACATTGTTAACACACAGCTCACACATGGGGTATTGGCGACCTACTCTTCGCACAAACTCCTATCAACAGTTTTGCAGATGCTGTAATAAATGCGCGTCATCTGCTGAGTCCACACAGTTGCTAGTGAGACAGTAGCAGTCCCCTGGTGTCCCAGTAAATGACTTGCAGTTCCAAGGAGGTACAAGGACAAGCTGAAGTATTAGCAGCAAGAAAATGCCAGGTTAAAAAACTGTGCACAGTCCAAGGTTGAAATGACAAGACAATCCTCGGAAAAGTTTCCTTGCGTATCAACTCTAAGAATAGTATGTACCTTTACTAAAAGATGACCTACCAATGTTGTGACTGGTGGTGTGATGAAGGGATCCAAGGTTGAGATGACAAGACAAAATTTTGAAAGGTTTGTTTGCGTATCATTTCTAAGAATAGTTCGTACTTTTACTAAGAGTTGGTCTAACATTGTTGGAACCAGTGATGTGATAACGATTTAATCATATTTTCTTCAATCGCACTGAAAAGATCAATACTATTACAGACAAAATAAGTGAGTGAGTGAGTTTAGTTTTACGCCGCTTTTAGCAATATTCCAGCAATATCAAGGTGGGTGACACCAGAAAGGAGCTCTGCACATTGTACCTATGTTGGGACTCGAACCCGGGTGTTCGGCGTGACGAGTGAACGCTTTAACCACTAGGCTACCCCACCACCCCATTACGGACAATGCAGAATCTATATTTTTCTACACTCTTTGAATAGATAAATAGTCTAAGTATAGTATGCGATTTCCGGTTCGAATCCCAGGTTTGTCCCGGTTGCAATCCTTGAATTGTCGTACCCGTGCCCATGCAGTGAACGACCTGGCCTAATTCTTTTTCAAATTAAAGCTGGCAATCCATGTACAAAGGAACTTTTGTTTAAGTGGGTGAGTTTAGTTTCAGCAATATTCCGAGGACACCCGAAATGGGCTTGACACATTGTACTCATTTGGGGAATCGAAATTTTGTTAATTGCATCTTCAAACTCAACTAATTCGCTTCAAAACGAATATGTTAAATTTGCATATTATATTTTATTGTAGACATTACATTTTCAACCAAATTTGAGAAGTGCTTTCTCTGAGCTACTCCCCGTCGACACAGCATTTATCAATATTTAATTGTATTACAAACACCCTTGTGTCGAACTTTGATGTGTCGACCTTAAGATTTGTGTGGACGACAATGTGCCGTATTCTTTCGTTATTCTTTAATTTCTTTTTTCTCGAACTTTGGATAATTCGAAGTATTTACGTAGTTTTCTTCAACTTCGACACAAAGGTATTTGACTGAGTGTACAGATGAGTGTTACGAGAGTGTAAAGAATGCTTGTCAAATATATATCACCAGGAAATACATGCTAAATTATCACATCACGTGACCCACCAATATTCACTCAGCTCTGGTCAGGAGGCTTGTAGCTAGTTTCCCATATTCTTATAATCGATTTCAGAAGAGATATTGCTATCAACAGGTGTGGAGTCTTCGCAAGGAATAGTATAGTTCAATGCCCCAGAGGTAATGGAACGACGGCGCATTCAATGTGAAAAGTGCTGAGAAGTTTGCTTTACCCTGTAAACATATTGAACAGTGAAACACGCCCTCGATGCATATGAAAAACAACGCGTAAAATAGACAGTCACTCTATTTAGACATCCTCTGAACGTGTTTGGTATTACATTACCAAGAACTACGATGGCGTTCAAGAAGTTTTGCAACTTGGGTATTTGTGTTTACACAAACAATGTCAACTTGTGGCAGGTGTGACACTAGTCATAACATCAGGTTGACACGTGTCATAACTAGTACCAGACACAACAACAAGTTAGATATGATGGCTTCATTCACTTAAGGATGGTCACATGGATTCTCTCAAACATGAACAACGCGCTGTAATAAAGTTCCTTACCAAGGAGGGATGCAAAACAAAAGAAATCCATGATCGTAACTGTAAAAGTGATGGGTAAAGATGCTCCTGACTATTCCACAGTTTGCCGTTGTCTCCACAATTTAAAAGGGGGAGGGATTCCATAGACGATGACCCAAGGTCAGGGAGGCCTTCACATGCTACCCAACCGGAACCCATAGCGGCTATAGAAGGAAACATTTTGTCTGACCAACGAATAAAAGTATCTGAACTTTCTAAGGAATTCCAAATATCAGTTGGGACTGTTGAAACCATTATTCATGAGCACCCTGGTATGTCCAAGGTATCTGCAAGAAGGGTACCTAGGAACCTCAGATCTTAGATCGCCATCAGAGAACTGAAAGTTGTCGAGAGCTCCTGATTCCCTATACTGCTGATGAAGCCGGATTTCTTTCTCGTCTAGAGACGGGTGATGAAACATGGATCCACCACTGGGACCCAGGAACTAAATTGGAATCCAATGGAAGAACCCCACTTCTCCGCCTCCTAAGAAGTTGCTCACTCACCCATCCACCATATTTCGCAACCATTTTTTGTGATGCAAGGGGCATATTGCTAACTGAGTATATGCCAGCAAAAGCTACAATCAGTGGACAGTGTTATGCTCATTTAAAGAAAGATTTGCCAAAACCTATTCTCCAGAAACGCCGTGGGATGTTAACACGTGGTGTTTTACTTTTCCATGACACCGCTCCGATTCACAAGGCAAGAATTGCACAGGCCGCCATACATTCCTGCCCGCAAAACGTTGTCGATTTACAGTATGTTGAAAAGTAAAGGTGCCAAAATTTTCTGCGACTTGGTCTTATATTGAGGTTGTAAAATAAATTGAACACCTCTCGTGATTTCTTATCTTACTCTGTCGAAATTTGATGGCGACACACTTTGAGGATGCAATGTTCATGACTGTTATTTGTTTTTCATCACTTGTTTCAAGAGTCACATGAGTGAGTGAGTTCAAATTTAACGTCTCATGAACAATATAACAGCTCTACAGTCACCTGACTACCTTCATAGGCAATCTGTTAGCCCAAATGTGTGTGCACGCGTGTTGTCACAAAGTTATAGTGTAGACCAGACCGACAAATAACTTTGTTTTGGAGGTTGTTTACGGAACTTGTGATTTCATCACATTGACATTGAAATACTTTGAGATGTCAATACTTTCTTTGAATTATTCCACGCTTTTTGCTGTTAGGAATTGACTTGACATAATGTGTATTTGAAAATAACAATACATTTTCCCGATACTTTCACTTTAAGTATGTTTGGATTTGTGTAGATTATTATCCAACTTGTGGTATGAGTGCATAAGTGTTAATTTCGAGTTTCAGCTTTGTCTAGATTTATCGACCGTTACCAGTGAATGATTGAGAAACTATGGTTTTACCGGTTTGGGGAATATTGAAATAACCCTAAACCTCTAGGTTGCCTTACCACCTGTCAGACATCACCATAAAAAACAACCTAAAACTAAACAAAACAAAAACAAAAGTAGAGGAAGAAGAAGAACAACAACAAAACACCCCCAAACCACACCAAGGAAACTGGACGACGATGGAGTACAAAGCAGTTGCAATTACCAACAGTTTTATTGCCGTTACTGCATTACAGGTGAATGAAGATTCTTCTTATGTACACTTGATGTCCGCTGGCATCAGTTTGTCGACCTCGTCACACTGGAACATGTCAAGGGGGGCTCTCCCTGTTCTTAGGGTCACCGCAGTAGGCGTTCTTGAAACGCTGTGGACAGGAGAGGGAGTGACATGGAAATATATATTGTAATCAAATGTGAAAGTTACACTGGATATCGACGTATAATGAAGGTGACTAATGGGATAATGCAGAGTGAGTGAATGCTGTTTTACGCCACTGTAAGAATATCCATGTCCAACTGGAACGGGGTACACCAACAAAGGTCTTTTTATAAATAACGTGGACCGAAATTGTAAGTGAACGCTTTAACATTTGGCCTATGGGCACTTGGGAGTGCTATGGACGTTTCTGATAATCAAATCTGTAACATTATCACACATCATGAAAATGCAACAAGTATAGGAGAGGGGTGTTGACAAGAAGCGTCAGTATCAGCCTTAACGGACTACATGTAATGACCTTTGTAACTTTACTGGGATCGTTGGAGATGTATTCGCATTATTGTCTTATGGACTACATGTAATGACCTTTGTAACTTAACTGGGATCGTTGGAGATGTATTCGCATTATGGTCTGATTGACTTTCGTAATAGCAAGACTTGTCTGGTTATTTACTTACACTGTATTGCGCCATTAAGAAGTCGGCATTGGTAAAATCTGAAAAGAGATACAAATGTAAGATGATGTTGGTATACCCTTTAATCCCAGATATTCCATTCAGCAATTTCTCTATAGTCATGTTATTGCGATGAGCATTCCATGATTGATAAATTAGTTAAACGGTACATCAAATGTTCCCCTCTGACACCCCTAATATCTTCCGAGGGCAAGGAAATTAACTGCCTGCTAAAGGGGAAACTGGGCTTATCTCCCTTGTCTCGGCAAACGGAAGGACACACAATTTGAAAGTTCTTCTTACTGAATGTAACGAAGTCGTCTGGAGTTGCACGGCCATCTTGGTTGACGTCAAAGGTCCCGTACATGTATCTGCCATACTCTTCGGAGAAGCCGTACCGACACGTCCACCTATTCACGACCTCCCATTCTTCCATGAGACAAAGGTCACCTGTAAGTTAAAAATGAAAAATACACTGTTTTTCAGAAAAATGTATGCCACAGACGTTTGGTTCTTCAGATTTTCTTTATCACCATCAAGATCAAACACACACACCCCCACACCCCCCCCCCCCACACACACACACACACATCACCATTAGCATCAAACTTCATATTCATTAGATTATCAAATATACAATAAAGAAATCCTATAATAGATCTTTACAATCTTTACAACGCAAGATCTTTTCAAAAGGAAATATACTCAATATATTCGGTGGCTAAACGAAACTTACCGTCGTAATTGTAATTCAGGACATCTTTGCCGATGTCACTCCCGTCCACTCTGCCGTCACCGTTGTCGTCGTTGTCTAGCACAGCAGCACAGAATTTCCCCACCAGCTCCTCAGGAGGGTTGCAGTCGTTAAGCAGGTAAAATAAGAACCTTCAAGAAAAGAGATAGTGAATGAATGAGAGAGCCACAATAGGTATCAACTTGGGTATCTTTAGTATCACTAGAAGAAATTGTAGTAGTTTGTTTTGTTTGTTTGTTGTTTAAGGCCGCACTCAGCAATATTCCAGCTGTATGGCGGCTGTCTGTAAATGATCGAGTCTGGACCAGGCAATCCAGTGATCAACAGCATGAACATCGATCTACCCAACTTGGATACGCAATGATCCTGAGCACCCGATCCCGTTAGTCCCCTATAAGACAAGCCTAATTATAACCCGGATCGTGTCTGGTGAATGTCTTGATATACCTGGAGAAACCACAGGTCCCACAGAAGAGGATGGCGAACACGGCAAGTCGAAGGGCAAGCATTCTGAAATAGAAAACCAGACTCATGAAATGGCAGTCGAATTTGTCATCAGAATTTCAAAATATCACAAGTGTCATTGCGCATGCGATAAACGACAAAGTAGTGGTTGATGACACGAATATAAGTCAAATCAGTACACACTACATCTATCTGGAAGCATATTCAGCGGACAGTAAGGGTGGAAAATGTACATGTCCTACGACTGAAAACGAAAAGAGTCATTAATCAGCACTGATAATGGATGGATTGATTGTTGTTCAGCGCCGCGCTCAGCAATATTCCAGCTATATGGCGGCGGCCTGTATATAATCGGGTATAGACCAGATAATCCAGTGATCAACATCGTGAGCATCTATAGAAGCTATTTGGATAGGATGACGTGTGTCAGCTAAGTCAGCGAGCCTGGTCACCCGATGACGTTAATCGCCTCTTACAAGCATGGGTTGCTGAAGATTTCAGATCGAATCTTCACGGGTCCAACACTGAGGAATGAAAACCAAATTAAATATTGTAGTAAAACTCGGGAGAGTACGAACCTGTCTCAATGCACTGGATATCGACTCGAGATGTGGCCAGATATGTTTCCCACTGGTATGTCTGTTATAGCTCCGCCCCATGGGGAGGCGGACACAAGGAGTTTTGGTAGGTGAGGGTGCCGACGAGGGGTATCCATATTTTAATAACTGAATTTTAGAATCGTCTCCGTTTGTGGATACTGCACGTGAATGGTACAGGTAACAATATACTCAATCAGTATTTAGTCTAGATGTACAAGGTATTGCCTGACTGCCACGTTATTAAATATTGCAAATACGTACAGGTATGCGTCCTGTCTAGAGCCCCACTTTGAGTGACAGACTGAGATTGCTGACTCTGCAAGCAATTTCAATTATCTATATGATCCGAGAAACAAAGCCACCCGGCGAAGTTGTGTAGTTGAGCTGTAGAAGAGACGACAGTGAACTTCAAGGTAAGCTGTTGGCGGTAGTCTGAATGTAGGAGCACACGTCAAGTAAACATCTTATTGAATGTTATTTAACATAAAATGCTCATTAGTGTTAGCTATGAATAATTTCTTATGTTTTGCTATTAATGTTTGTTGGTTGACTTTAACTCTTTTTTTAGTAGAAAGACCTGTTTGTGAATGGTCTCTGGCCCCATTCTGTGCATGTTCGGGGAAACTATGCACAGATTCCTTACATTATCTATATCATCAACACTTTGTTTTTGTTGTGAACACTGTTAATATTTGTTGTTGTGCTGTTAAAGGAACAGTCACTTGGAGTATATAACTAGGTTCGTGTAAATCTATTCACACCTATCTTCCCACAGATGATGTACAGAGCGTTGTTGTGTCTGGCCCTATTCGTGGGCTCTGCATCTGCCCAGGGAAGGGGGTTCAGCAACAACAAGAATACAGAATGCGGTTCCTTCCAAATTAAACAGGCTGGCCGGTGAGAACTACATATATAGTATTTCTATCTTGAAATCTCTACCTGCGCTGACGCAGTCGCACATTCATAACTTAACAAACAATACCTTAATAAGTCCAGCTACTTCAAGCTTTAAGTACAACACCTTTAATAATTGCAACTACCACAACCTGTAAGTAGAACAATACCTTAATCAGAGCAACTATTGCAGCCTGTAAGTCCAACAATATCTCAACAATTACAACTACTAGAAACTGACTGACTGACTGACTGACTGAGTTTGGTTTTACGCCGCTTTTAGCAATATTCCAGCAACATCACGGCGGGGGATACCAGAAATGGGCTTCACACATTGTACCCATATGGGGATTCGAACCCGGGTCTTCGGCGTGACGAGCCAATGCTTTAACCATTAGGCTACCCCACCGCCCCTCTACTAGAAACTGTTAGTACAACATTACCTTAATAAGTATAAGTACTTCAGCCTTTAAGTACAACAACACCTCAATACGTACAACTACTACAGTCTTTTAGTACAACTATACCGAAAGTAATATTTCTACGTCAGCGTAATGGTAAAGGAACAAGGCCATGCACACGTTCGTCTTTTTCACTGTGGAACAACCCTGGAATATTGGTATAGAAACCAGTGGTGACGCCTCATTCAGCAATATTCCAGCTATTAGCTATATGGCGACGGTCTGTAAATGATCGAGCTACCAATCCAGTGATTGACATCATGTGCATCGAACTACGAAACTGGGATTCGCTAGCATCTGGCAACTACCAAGTCAGCGAGCTTGACCACCCAATCCCGTGGGTCGCCTCTTACGACAAGCATGGGTTGCTGAGGACCAGTTCTAACCCGGATCTTCACGGATTTCCGTGATAAGACTTCTGTTAAAGGTGGCGTTAAATCATATTCAGTCCGGCATAACTAACTCTTAAATGAAGATTCAGGAAAGTTTGGACCGGCAATATTTAGCATTAACTCGATTATTTATGAGGGATCTGTTGTGTGTATTACAGGGCAATATTAGATGTGATGTCTGACTCTTTGACTCTGTATTCACTCAGGCCCACCAACGAGTCTATGACTGATGTTGACACACGTCAAGTTCTGGATGACCTCAAAGCTCTCGACACCGACAAAGATGGCAGCCTCAGTTCCGCCGAAATGGACGACCGGACATTTGGAGCCACGTTCGACAGTTCCCTCACACGTAAGCTAACCCTGGAGAGGATGGTTCCACCTACATCTGGGATGTTTTTATTTGGTACTTTTAACACTGGAATTGCACACTCATTTCTCATGCTCTTGTCCTGTACAGTTAACGCTGGAGTCGATGGTTGCACCTACATCTGGGATGTTTTTATTGGGTACTTTTAACACTGGAATTGCACACTCATTTCTCATGTTCTTGTCCTGTAAGATTAACGATGGAGTCGATGGCTGCAGTTACATTTGTGATGTTTTTGGTCTTGGCACTAAACGCCATTGTTGATTGTTGCACACTCATTTCTCATGTTTTTATCCTGCACAGTTAACGCTGGAGTCGATGGTTGCACCAAAATTTGGGCTCTTCTTGTCCTGTATAGTTTATAGGTCGATGGTTGCAAATACATTTATCATGTTCTTGTTTTGTGCAGAAAACGCTGGGGTTGACCGTTGCACCTACGTGATGATGGGGAAGAAGCGGTATGACATCGGCAGGGGCGTCTCAGGCCGCGTCTTCGACGTTGTCGACGTCAACAAAGACCTCAAGCTCAGCGCTGCGGACAAGGACGACGCTGCATTCAAGCTGCTCGATAAGGATGGTAGGATATACGATACCTTGCATAGATTTTCTTGTACAAGATTAAACAACCCAAAAGATTTCAGCTTCTGCTGTTGGTAGTCATATTGTTTAAACAACATTATTGCACGATCCGGTAACCTGATGTGCATTAGTTCTTGAAGAGACGATCTGTCTCTTAGGGGTACAAGAATTACATGATCGTTGTCATTCTTGGCTATCAGTCCCACATCCAAACTCCTGCATTTCACAAAACAGCATCGACAATTTGTTTCTTTGACTTTCACCAAAGATTTGAATGTAGAAAATGCATAATTCATATAAGTCAGTTATACTAGCCTTTCTTTCTAGTCATTATTTGTAATAGTTTGGAGTGTGCCGTTAAAACAAGTAAACAAACACAACGACGAGAAGTCACAACATAATGAATGATTTTTATCTGAAGGTAATGGCAAAGTGTCTGTGTGTGAAGCTTTCGAGGGCTTCATGGCCGTGTTGCAAGATGCAGAAGAAAAGGCATACATGCAAGAGGTATTTATGACGTTTCAACAATATTTAACCAAGTTAGGAAACTGTAGCAATGTACTGCTCTGCAGTGACTATCCCACATTCATTGATCTCTAATACATAGCATGGATTTGCTCTAAACACTCTATGGCAAAGCTTACTGAGAGCACACGGAAATCCCCGGTCTGGGCGTCGTATTAAATGAGTTAACGGAAACCAGAATAGTGGATTTTATAGAACTGACAGGATTGACGTCCGTATAACGTCCTACCGCATTCTGATGCTACATTTCAGTGTGTGATACAGCTGCTGATCGCCTTGTTTCGATAGGTATCGAGTTTGCTACCTCGCCAAAGAGTTATAAAAGTAAACTCAACACAAACGTATTAACATGTTCATTGGTCTTATAGAATACTCGAAAAAGAATACGGTTTGCTTATTCAAAAGTACATATTAACTCCACGGTAACAATGGGGTATAAAATTTCAATTTCCATAAGGTTTCTGTGTGATTTGCTTTCTGATAGAGATCGTAGAGTTCGGTGCAAAAATAAGTACCGGACGTAACTTGAACGATATAAGGGCATGGGTCGTAGCTATGTGTTGTGGGTAATGGATGTCAGGATGTAAAAGTGGAGCAATACCTCTACGATGTTTTTAACTCTGGTCTTACAGCACACTCACAACAGAATCCATGGATCTGCAATAATCAGTGATGGCGATGACACAAGTGGGATGGGGTTTGGGGTGTAGGGTGTTGGGGTTGAGGATGTGGGCTACAGTGCAATAATCAGTGATGGCGATGACACCAGTGGGATGGGGTTTGGGGTGTAAGGTGTTGGGTGTTGGGGTTGAGGATGTGGGCTACAGTGCAATAATCAGTGATGGCGATGACACCAGTGGGATGGGGTATGGGGTGTAAGGTGTTTGGTGTCGGGGTTGATGATGTGGGCTACAGTGCAATAATCAGTGATGGCGATGACACCAGTGGGATGGGGTTTGGGGTGTAGGGTGTAGGGGGCTGGGTGTAGGGTATTGGGGTTGAAGATGTGGGCTACAGTGCAATAATCAGTGATGGAAATGACACCAGTTGGATGAGGTTTGGGGTGTAGGGTGTAGGATGTAGCGTGTAGGGTGTAGGGTGTTGGGTATTGGGGTTGATGATGTGGGCTACAGTGCAATAATCAGTGATGGCGATGACACAAGTGGGATGGGGTTTGGGATGTAGGCTGTAGGGTGTTGGGTGTTGGGGTTGATGATGTGGGCTACAGTGCAATAATCAGTGATGGCGATGACACCAGTGGGATGGGGTTCGTGATGTAGGGTGTAGGATGTAGCGTGTAGGGTGCAGAGTGTAGGGTGTAGGGTGTTGGGTGTTGAGGTTGAGGATGTGGGCTACAGTGCAATAATCAGTGATGGCGATGACACCAGTGGGATAGGGTTTGGGGTGTAGGGTGTAGGGTGTAGCGTGTTGGGGTTGAGGATGTGGGTTACAGTGCAATAATCAGTTATAGCAATTACACCAGTGGGATGAGGTTTGGGGTGTAGGGTGTAGGATGTAGCGTGTAGGGTGTTGGGTGTTGGGTGTTGGGGTTACAGTGCGTGGCAAAAGAAAGATTTGTCATCTGACAAAACGAACTATTCAGGCACACTGCTCTGTTTCTCATGCTTTGAAGGTTTTGTCTCACCACAGGACAGTTGTTACCCAAAGGTTTTGTGACAAAAGTTTGCATCTCCTTGTAAAATGTTTGGGCAATGTGTGTTGAAAGACTTTCTCCTAGAGGTAGTTTGGCCTTTGAATATATTTGGGACTAAAACATCTATTTTTATCATTTGCATGTTAGATGTGTCAGTATAAATCCCGTATGCAGATTGTATTCTGTACACTCGGAGATCCTCTGTATACGTCTGTTAACGAAAACCAGAATTACTGGATTTTGTAGAACTAAAAACCCAACCTTTGCCTCTTTTCTCAGGTGAAGTATACGGACATCGTCTACAAGTACAGAAAACGCTCACCCATATATTTCCCTGGGTCCGACTAAAGTACCATGTTTGTCCTGGCAAGACAAGGGGCAACGATCACCTGACTGCAAGGACGATAACCGTAATGCTTTGTCAATAAAATAGTGGAAATACTGATCTTGTCTCTTTCATGGTTATTGGTTAAGTACACTGTCTAGGGTGGATTGTACGGACACGACCAGAGTTGATTTACATATTCGTACTAGGACCCTGTGATGGTAGGTTCGAATCCTACTTGGTTGGTTGGTTTGTTGTTTAACGCCCCACTCGGCTATATACCTGGGCCTCCTTTCACAAAGCACTAAGGTGATCGTAAATCACTAAGGTAACCTTAGTGTAATGTTAAAGAATGGGAGTTAACCTTAGTGAAGGTTGCTTCGTGAAAGGAGCCCCGGACTGCAAGGACGATAATGCTTTGTCAATAACGTGGTACATGCTGTTTGGAAAAGTCGAATATCATGTTGATGAGTCGAATATTTAATCGGGTGAAACGAATATCGCAAGGATGGACTTATATACCGTTTTTGTTATACACACTCAACAATTACCTTCATTCTTCTACTTTGAAAGGATCAAATATTTAGCTACAAGACAATTGCCTCTTTCTAACATACCAGAACATGTTTGTAGTTCATGACGTTATCAGTACAAAATTTTCCTCCCTTTCTCTTCTCTTATCTTCCTTCTTCTTCTCCTTCTCTTCTCCAAATCCCCCTCCTCCTCCTTCTATAGAGCAACTAACCTCGGCTATTGTAATGAGGAAGAAAGGAGCACCCCTCAAATATGTCTCCTAGACAACTGCCTCTTTCTAACATACCAGAACGTGTTTGTAGGTCATGACGTTATCAGTACAAAATTCCCCTCCTCCTTCTCTACTTTTTTCTTTCTTTCTTCTTTCCTTCTCCTTCTCCACCTACTTCTGCAGAGAGGAAGAAGTGAGCACCCCTAAATTATGGCTCCCGGACAATTAAGATCAAGCGAACAGGCCTAAGAAGGAGTCTTGTCTCACTGAAAAAATCGTTTCGAGTGAACAAAGTAATTCTATACTTAACAATAAAGATACTAGACTCGCAACAATGAAAAGGAATTGCTTGTTAACACACAGCTCAAACATGGGGTGTTGGTGACCTACTCTTTGCGGGAATACCTATCAACATTTTTGCAAGTGTTGTAATAAATGCGCGCTATCTGCTGAGTGCACATTTATAAGGTTATGATAAGACAGTTGCAGTCCCTTGCAGCTTCAAGAAAGTAGAAGGACAAGCTTACGTATTGGTAGCAAGGAAAGGTCAGGTTGAAAACTGTGCACATTCCAAGGTGGAGCACCAAGGAAAGGTCAGGTTGAAAACTGTGCACATTCAAGGTCGAGCACCTTCCCACATTCCCAAAATGAGATGATAGGGCAATATTTTGAATGTTTTTTTCGTTGCATATCGTTTCTAAGAATAGTACGTACTTTTACTAATGATATGATATGACAGTTATGGTAAGACAGTTGCAGCCCCTGGGTGTCCTGAATGACTTGCAGCTTCAAGAAGGTACAAGGACAAGCTTAAGTATTAGCGGCAAGGAAATGTCGGGTTAAAAAACTGTCCACATTCCAAGGTCGAGATGACAAGACAATCTTCGGAAAAGTTCCGTTGTAGAGAATAGTACGTACTTTTACTTAGCGCTTGACATTGCTGGGACCTGTGGCGTGATGAAGGGTTTAATTATATTCTTTTCAGATCAATACCATTGCGACAAAGTGAGTGAGTGAGTTTAGTATGACGCCGCTTCTAGCAACATTCCAGCAATATCATGACGGGGTACACCAGAAATGGGCTTCACACATTGCACCCATGCTGGGAATCGAATCCGGGAACAAATTCGCTTCAAAACGATGATGTTACATTTACATAGGTTTTATTGTTGTCATTACATTTTCGAACAAAGCTGAGAAGTGCTTTCTCTGAGCTACACACCGTCGACACAGCATTTATCAATGTTTAATTATATTACAGTCAAACACCCTTGTGTCGAACTTTGATGTGTCGATAAATGTGCCGTATTCTTTCGTTATTCTTTCATTTTGTTTTCTCGAAGTTTAGATAACTCGAAACATGTACATAGTTCTCTTCAACTTCGACACAAAGGCGTTTGATTGAATGTTCAGATGCTAGTTACGAGAGTGTAAAGAAATGCTTGTAAAATATATCTCATCAGGAAATACATACTGCGTAAGGAATTGTCGTGAACCATCAATTTACAAGTGCTGAGAAGTGTGAAAAGTGCTGAGAAGTTTGCTTTACCCTGTAAACATACTGAGCAGTGGAACACGCCCTGGATGATACATTTAAAAAACAAAGTTAACGCTTAAAGTTAACGCTCCATTTAGACATCTCCTGAACGGCCAAGTCAGCGTCGTGTATGGTATTACATAACCAACAACTATCCGGTTGGTTCTGAAGTCAACTTTCTCTGTCCTAATTTGATTGCGACACATTTTGAGGATGTTATTTTCATGTTTGTTATGTAGGTTTTCCATCACTTGGTTCAAGAGTCACATGAGTGAGTGAGTGAGTTCAAAGTTAACGTATCATCGGTATTATATCAGCTATACAGGCACCTGACCAACTGTAGGCATGTTTGTATATATGTATATGTGAGTGTGTGTGTGTGTGCGTGCGTGCGTGCGTGCGTGCGTGTGTGTGTGTGTGTGTGTGTGTGTGTGCGTGCATGTATGTGTGTGCGTGCATGTATGTGTGTGCGTGCGTTTTGCTTTTGGTTTTGCTTTTTGTTCATGTTTAGACTTAAAACAAATTTACAAACTTAAATTGTTTTATATCTGCTGGGGTTGTAGTGTGTTCCCAGTGTGGCCTCTCTGTGTATTACGTAATAACCAAATTCAGGGTCCACACTGGGACCATTACTGGAAGTTTATGTAAATATGTATCTTTAATTTTCTTGTTTTCCGATGTTGTTAGCTGATTTCTCAGTGAGTTGAGGAGGAAGATGGTGTAATAATTTATCTTTATTTTTGTGTGTTTATCCTTTCTCGTATTTTGCTATAAGTAGGCTTCTGCATGAATGTTGGTCATATCAGCCTCGGTACTAAAGGGAGAGATTGTACTAATGGTTCTCGTCATATACGTGAGTGAGTGAGTATGGTGTTACGCCGTTTTAAGCAATATTCTAGCAATATCACGGCGGGGGACACCAGAAATGGGCTTCACACATTTTACCCATGTGTGGAATCGAACCCGGGTCCTCGGCGTGACGAGCGAACGCTTTACCCATTAGGTTACACACCGGCCTCTTCATCATAAGAGGAAGGGCCACACCCATCAGTCTGATACGGGAATGACTGCTGCCCACCTCATCACAACTTCTATGAAGAAAAGACCCAGAGAGGAACTCAGCAGCATCCCATAGATATATGAACACGAACGAGAGAAGCTATTGACAGATTCAGCAGACACAACACCACTATAGTCTGTTTGCATTGAAAACGTACCGATCAATTTCACTTTAAACAAATAAGTACATCAAATAAAGTGAAATTAAGATTATTTGTAATTCAAACCAGTAATAGCGATTTGAAAGTATGATCCTTTGTTAAACAACTTTTATTCTAAGTTGAATAAAATTTTGAGATTTAAATGTTCACTTGGCAAGGTAAAATTATCAGGATTCGCAACCTTAATTTCACTTTATTTGATTTACATGTTTGTTTAAAGTGAAATTCATCAGTACGTTTTCACTCCAAACAGACTATAGAAGTTGCTAAAAATCTCAAGTTCTTTCACAGTGTGAAGTCTTGGACTTGAATTTGTGATGTGCGAGAGGGAGGATGTATTGATATTTCTATTTCTATGTGAAAGTTAAGTCTAAATATTTAATGAGCCAGTGTTAATTTGCAATATCATGAGCATGAATAATGTAAATATATGTATCGAAAAGCTTTTTTTTTGTTGTGCTTCTTCTTCAAAATGGCATTCAAAGCTATTTCAAAGAATCACGATCTGTAATTAGTCCAACACTGTTGGTAGTTAAGCTTATTGGATTAAGAGAGGCCTGTGCGCAAACACTAAGTGTCCAGGGGCCATTCTGGGATGAGTTGTTGACAAGGCGTCTAAACTCAGGGACCACTGTGGGGAAAGGTCACTCTGGGCATAAATCTGGGGATGTGTATAACCCAAACCTCTAGGCTGCCTTACCGCACGTCAGTCATCACCATAAACACACAACACAAACAAGAAGATATAGAGGAGGAGGAGGAAGAAGAAGAAGAAGAACAACAACAACAAAAGACCCCAAAATCACTGCCAGGAAACTATGGTACGAAGGTAACCACTTACAGCTTCCCCAATGAGAACAAAACTCTTGCTATTACCAACAGTTTTATTGATGTTTCTACATCACAGGTGAATGCAGATTCTGCTTATGCACACTTGATGTCCGCTGGCATCATTTTGTCCACCTCGTCACACTGGCGTTTGTCCACAGGACTCACCCTGTTCTTAGGGTCACCGCAGTAGGTGTTCTTGAAACGCTGTGGACAGGAGAGTGAGTGAGTGAAATGGATATCCAGTGTTATTTGGGTAGTAATCAAATGTATAATACATATATATTATAATGTAATCAAATCTGAAAGTCACACAGGTTATCAGCGTTTAATAAGAGATTCCAACCCACGACTAAAGGGATAAAGCAGAGTGAGTGGATATTGCTTTACGCCACTTTAAGAACAGTCACGTTCACCCGGGACGGGGTAGACGAACAGATGGCTTTTCACAAAGGAAGTGGACCGATGTGGTGAGTGAGCACTTCAACTTTTGGCCCGTGGGAAAGTTTTCGATATGGACGTTTGTGTTCATAAAATTTGTGACAGTATCAGGCATCATGAAAATACAGCTCTAGTACTGGAGAGGGATGTTGACAGGAAGCGTGAGCATCACTCTGGTTTTAATGGACTACATGTAATGACTTCCGATATCAATTCATAATAACTAGATTTGTAAATTAACTGAACTTTGTTTGAAGTATTCACGATATCGAATAGCAAGACTTGTCTGTTTAGATACTTACAGTGTACTGCATCATTAGGAAGTCGGAATCGCTAATATCTGAAAAGAGATACAAATGTAAGAGAATGCTGTTGTACGTTTTAATCCCAGTAATAATTCCATTCTTCCTTTTCTCTACAGAAATGTTATTGTGATTAGCATCCCATGATTCAAATGTCAATGTCCCCCGCTGGATCATCAACATCGTCACGAGGCAAGGAGGTTGACTGAGTGTTAAAGTGGAAACTAGACATTTATAGTCAGTCATCATCTTGTCTCGGGTACATCAAACTACCAACATCTTCCTGAGGCAAGGAGGTTGACTGAGTGTTAAAGTGGAAACTAGACATTTATAGTCAGTCATCATCTTGTCTCGGGTACATCAAACCACCAACATTTGTCTGAGGCAAGTTGACTGAGTGTTAAAGTGGAAACTAGACATTTATAGTCAGTCATCATCTTGACTCGGGTACATCAAACCACCAACATCTTCCTGAGGCAAGGAGGTTGACTGAGTGTTAAAGTGGAAACTAGACATTTATAGTCAGTCATCATCTTGTCACGGGTACATCAAACCACCAACATCTTCCTGAGGCAAGGAGGTTGACTGACTGTTTAAGTGGAAACTAGACATTTATAGTCAGTCATCATCTTGACTCGGGTACATCAAACCACCGACATCTTCCTGAGGCAAGGAGGTTGACTGAGTGTTAAAGTGGAAACTAGACATTTATAGTCAGTCATCATCTTGTCTCGGATACATCAAACCACCAACATCTGTCTGATGCAAGAAGGTTGACTGAGTGTTCAAGTGGAAACTAGACATTTATAGTCAGTCATCACCTTGTCTCGGATACATCAAACCACCAACATCTTCATGAGGCAAGGAGGTTGACTGAGTGTTAAAGTGGAAACTAGACATTTATAGTCAGTCATCATCTTGTCTCGGGTACATCAAACCACCGACATCTTCCTGAGGCAAGGAGGTTGACTGACTGTTTAAGTGGAAACTAGACATTTATAGTCAGTCATCATCTTGACTCGGGTACATCAAACCACCGACATCTTCCTGAGGCAAGGAGGTTGACTGAGTGTTAAAGTGGAAACTAGACATTTATAGTCAGTCATCATCTTGTCTCGGATACATCAAACCACCAACATCTGTCTGATGCAAGAAGGTTGACTGAGTGTTCAAGTGGAAACTAGACATTTATAGTCAGTCATCACCTTGTCTCGGATACATCAAACCACCAACATCTTCATGAGGCAAGGAGGTTGACTGAGTGTTAAAGTGGAAACTAGACATTTATAGTCAGTCATCACCTTGTCTCGGATACATCAAACCACCAACATCTTCAAGAGGCAAGGAGGTTGACTGAGTGTTAAAGTGGAAACTAGACATTTATAGTCAGTCATCATCTTGTCTCGGGTACATCAAACCACCAACATCTTCCTGAGGCAAGGAGGTTGACTGAGTGTTAAAGTGGAAACTAGACATGTATAGTCAGTCATCATCTTGTCTCGGGTACATCAAACCACCATCATCTTCCTGAGGCAAGGAGGTTGACTGAGTGTTAAAGTGGAAACTAGACATTTATAGTCAGTCATCACCTTGTTTCAGATACATCAAACTACCAACATCTTTCTGAGGCAAGGAGGTTGACTGAGTGTTAAAGTCGGAACTAGACATTTATAGCCAGTCATCATCTTGTATCGGGTACATCAAACCACCAACATCTTTCTGAGGCAAGAAGGTTGACTGAGTGTTAAAGTGGAAACTAGACATTTATAGTCAGTCATCATCTTGTCTCGGGTACATCAAACCACCAACATCTGTCTGAGGCAAGGAGGTTGACTGAGTGTTAAAGTGGAAACTAGACATTTATAACCAGTCATCATCTTGTCTCGGATACATCAAACCACCAACATCTGTCTGAGGCAAGGAGGTTGACTGAGTGTTAAAGTGGAAACTAGACATTTATAGTCAGTCATCATCTTGTCTCGGGTACATCAAACCACCAACATCTTTCTGAGGCAAGGAGGTTGACTGAGTGTTAAAGTGGAAACTAGACATTTATCGTCAGTTATCTCGGGAAGTGAACTACAAACGGAAGGATACACATTTTGAAAATATATCTTACTGAATGAAGCAAATCCGCCTTGGCTGCCGCCAAAAGATGTGGCCATGTATCTGCCGTACTCTTCGGAGTAGCCGTACCGACACGAGAACCTGGTCACGAACTCCCATTGTTTACTGACACAAAGGTCATCTGTAGGTTAAAACGAAAAATATAATGTTTTTCACAAAAACGTATGCCACAGTTGTTTGGTTCTTCAAGTTCTCTTATCACCATCAAGATCACCGCTGCCATCAGCATTAGCATCAAACCTTACATTCTTAAGATTATCAAATATGAAATAAAGACATGTTATAATAGATACATGAAATACTGATATTAAATCTGTTCTTGAGCTATCAAGATGCGCTAAAAGGTTAATCTTTACAACGCAAGATCTTATGAAAATGAAATGAAACGCAAAATCGAACTCAGTATATTTTGAAAACAGATTCGCAAACGGTACATTATCAAATCGTTTGTTGTATTTGGTCATAGATGAAATACAAATCTTGTCATACCCCTTTTCAGGATGTTATTTTATGTTATGTTATCTTTGAAAATCTCTGGACTGGTCTGATTATTTTCATTTTCTTTGTACAACCTGTTGAGAACCTGAGGAATATGATATTTAAGATGTGACAATATTTTTAGCCGAACTATATAATGAAATACTATGAAAATGCACGTTGTCTGTCTCAACGAAAGACTATATATTGACCAGTAAATCATGTCTTCCTCTAAAGGCGGGATTCATTCACAAGGTCTGTACAATTTGAGAAAGTATAGCAATATCTATACCAAACACAAAATGTAGAAGTAACGGTAAACATGTTATCAGACTTATTTCAGACGTTTCAAGGAATGTTTTCATGATTATTTTACATGAGTGAGTGAGTAAGTGAATGAGTGAGTTTAGTTTTACTCCAGAAATGAACTTCATACATTGTACCCATGTGGGGAATTAAACTGGGGTCTTCGGGATGACTTTGCTACCCTATTTAACACGAGCTTTCATAATATATTAGACGGTACAAAGTAAAGGTAAAACATCAACATGGTTAGATATCAGCCTAAAATGACTTCACCATTGTTTCATATTTTTGCCATCTTTGGTTCTTGATCACGTCATAAGTCACGTCATATCCGGTAACATTCTCACTTTCCGGAGAGCTAAAAGATACACTGATATACAGTTATTTTACGGAGTGATTTTATTCAAAGGGGTCCCCTTCCCCCCATCCTTTCCCTTTCGGTTTCCGTCGGTGGCTAAACGAAACTTACCGTCGTAGTTGTAATTCAGAAGATCTTTGCCGATGTCACTGCCGTCCACTCTGCCGTCAGCGTTGACATCGTTGTCCATCGTAGCAGCACAGAATTTCCCCAACAGCTCCTCGGGAGGGTTGCAGCGGATAAGGAAAGGATTAATAAGGCTCCTTCAAGAAGAGACAAATAGTGAATGAATAAGAGAGTCAAATACGTTTCTGGGGTTCTAACTGGGATGTTTAGTATCATTAAAAGAAATTGTAACAGTTTGTTTTCCTTGTTTGTTTGTTGTTTAAGGCCGCACTGAGCAATATTCCAGCTGTATGGCGGCGGTCTGTAAATAATCGAGACTGGACCAGACAATCCAGTGATCAACAGCATGAGCATCGATCTACCCAACTTGGATACGCAATGATCCTGCTCACCCGATCCCGTTAGTCGCCTATAAGACAAGCCTAATTAGAACCCTGATCGTGTCTGGTGAATCTCTTGACATACCTGGCAAAACCACAGGTCCCACAGAAGAAGATGGCGAACACGGCAAGACGAAGGGCAAGCATTCTGCAAAAGAAAACCAGACATAGGTAATGACGGTTGAATTTGCCATTAGAATTTCAAAATATCAAAAGTGTCATTGCGCATGCGCTAAACGACAAAATAGTGGTTGATAACACGAACTACAGTCAAATAAATACACACTACATCTATCAGGAAGCATATTCAACGTCCAGTGAGGGTGGCAGATTTACATGTCCCACCACTGAAAACGAAAATAGTAATTAATCAGCACTGATGAATAAAGACCAAGTTAAATGTTGTAGTAAAATTCGGAAAAGTACGAACCTGTCTGAATGTGCTGGATAACGACTCGAGATGTGGCCAGATCTGTCTCTGACTGTTCAGTATGTGCTATAGCTCCGCCCCATGGGGAGGCGGACGCAAGGAGCTTTGGCAGGTGAGGGTGCCGACGAGGGGTAACCATATTTTGTAAACTGAATTTTAGAATCGTCTCCGTTTGTGGAGACTGTAAGTGAATGGTACAGGTAACACTATTATCAATCTTTTGTAATATTTTTGTGATTTTAAATGGAACATTCAAGTAACTGATTAAGTAAGGTGCGTGCGCGTGTGTGGGTGAGTGAGTGTGTGATCCTACCCTGAAGGCGCCAGTCGCTGCTCACAATATCAATCACTGGATGATCTGACCAAGACTCATTATTTACCAGCAGTCGCTGTACTGCTGGAGTATTGTTGAGTGCGACATTAGCCAACAATGCAATCTTAAACATGAAAACCGTCTAGACCAAAGAATAGTTGTGATTTCTATGAATTTACCCTTTGACAATGTGTCAATCCAAAACACTATACAGCAGGGCGCTCGAACATCTGTACATCCCTGCTCGTCGTGGTTTTAGATATCTGTGTGTGAGAAGTTGTAAACACATACATGGTCAGAGGAAACGAGATTTCCTGGCGCATCCCTGACAAAATCTGTTTCTAGACTGGTTCTGCATCAGATGACATCGTCGTAATAGAGAGCAGTAACCACAACCGTCCGCCTGTTCAGAATGACGTGAACGCAGTGTCAATAAAAAAAAATTCACTGAGTGAGTGAGTTTAGTTTGACGCCGTTTTAGCAATATTTCAGCAATATCATGGCGCGGGAAACAAGAAATGGGCTGCACACATTGTCTTGGCATGACAAGCGAATGCTTAAACCACAAGGCTACCCCATCGCCCATAAAATGTACAACTAGTTGCGGGTACAGCAGCGTGCAGTAAACTTGGACAACGTACTGTGACTATGTGTCCCAGTCCACCCAGCTGTGAATGGGTGCCTCGTAAGGATGCGAAATCCGCATTAACTCGGTGCGCCTAGTGGCTGCAAGAGTTGTATGATGCCCCGGGAGTTGACATTGATAATACGATGTGCCGTTGATGGAGGGAAAGAATACCAGAGCCTTGAGCATGTACTAGTTGCGTGGATATGTGCGCTATATAAATATCCTGTAATAAAAAAATAATTCAGTGTTATAATGTAAATGATCTCAAGTGTTATTGCGTAATTGTAATTTATTCATTTAAGATAAGTAGGCTGTGACGAGCACCAAAATCAATAGCACCAAGTGTTCTCAGATTGCAGTATTTGAAAGGCACTGAACCACTCTCTTCCGGACATCCTTCCATTCTTCCAAGGTGATCGACCAGCAAGACCTTGTTATGCAGGATAACGTGTACCCATGGCTCTCAGGCTGACTGACAGACTGACTGAATGTTCGTCTATATGACTGAACAAATGTCTATATGGCTTCATAGTTGTCTGTATTACTGCATAGGTGTCCTGCATGACTGAATGGTTGTCTGTATGACTGAACAAATGTCTATAAGGCTTCATAGTTGTCTCTATTACTGCACGGTGTCCTGCATGACTGAATGGTTGTCTGTATGACTGAATGGTTGTCTGTATGACTGAATGGTTGTATGTATGACTGAATGGTCGTCTGTATGACTGAATGGTTGTCTGCATGACTGAATGGTTGTCTGAATGGTTGTCTGTATGACTGAATGGTTGTCTGTATGACTGAACAAATGTCGATATGGCTTCATAGTTGTCTCTATTACTGCACGGTGTCCTGCATGACTGAATGGTTGTCTGTATGACTGAATGGTTGTCTGTATGATTGAATGGTTGTCTGTATGACTGAATGGTTGTCTGTATGACTGAATGGTTGTCTGTATTACTGCATGGTTGTCTGTATGATTGAATGGTTGTCTGCATGACTGAATGGTTGTCTGTATGACTGAACAAATGTCTATATGGCTTCATAGTTGTCTGTATTACTGCACGGTGTCCTGCATGACTGAATGGTTGTCTGTATGACTGAACAAATGTCTATATGGCTTCATAGTTGTCTGTATTACTGCACGGTGTCCTGCATGACTGAATGGTTGTCTGTATGACTGAATGGTTGTCTGCATGACTGAATGGTCGTCTGTATGACTGACTGGTTGTCTGCGTGACTGAATGGTTGTCTGTATGACTGAATGGTTGTCTGTATGACTGAACAAATGTCTATATGGCTTCATAGTTGTCTGTATTACTGCACGGTGTCCTGCATGACTGAATGGTTGTCTGTATGACTGAATGGTTGTCTGTATGACTGAATGGTTGTCTGTATGACTGAATGGTTGTCTGTATGACTGAACAAATGTCTATATGGCTTCATAGTTGTCTGTATTACTGCACGGTGTCCTGCATGACTGAATGGTTGTCTGTATGACTGAATGGTTGTCTGTATGACTGAATGGTTGTCTGTATTACTGCATGGTTGTCTGTATGACTGAATGGTTGTCTGTATGACTGAATGGTTGTCTGTATGACTGAATGGTTGTCTGTATTACTGCATGGATGTCTGTGAGAATGCATGTATGTCTGACTAACTGCATTGTTATACTGATTTCTTGTACGACTGCATGCTTGTTTATTTAACCAACTGTTTGTCTGCTTGGATGTGTGGGTTCTTCCATGTGTTATGTGACGCTAAGTGAAAATGCAAAGAATGCATTGGTTGTATATAGAGACATTGTCACACAAGTAAATGTGTCATATGACTTGTATGAAACGAGTGTGAAATTCTGAAAGCGAGAGCAAGGGCAATACATAATTTGGCACGTGTCTCCTATAAGTCGTATGGCACACTTGCGAGTGTAATGAATTCTTTATTATAAATTTTATTCATGCACATTTGTGCACAGTTTTCACTGTAAGCTAGTCTGACGGCCCTCTTCATTGACGTCACGTTCAATTGTTTAATGATGTCACACACGCAGAAATACAGAAACAATGGTTCCTTGGCATGACACTGGTTATGTTTCACCATATGGGTAATAAATATAAATATTTATTTTACACAAGGTAACGTGTGATGTAATGACTCATATTACATTGCAATCATCTCTCAATAAAGCAGTTCAGAAACAAGCATGAGTGTCCCTAACTGATCCAAATAGTGAATATTAACGTGCGTTACATATTGTGATACCGACGGAAGGCTCTTGTACAATTTGTCATATTTTCCACACATGATTCATGCATGTCACTAAACATGTCATCATGTTCCATATCTACTCACAGGACGCTATGCACATAAATATTTACGCTGATAGGGAGACGGACCCAGTGTCCTCGTGCTCTGAAGGACTTGCAGCTTAAATTAATCAGGAAGGTCGAACAGAAAATACAGGTTAAAATCTGGTGACAATGCATTTTTTTGCACTTCGTTTCTAAGAATAAAATACGTTTTCACGAAGAGTGCAACTGACTTTGCTAATTGCAATTTGCAAATTTGTTATGTCAATTGCCTTTATTAAATGTTCCTTCAGATCAAAAGTGGTACACGTGTTACGAAAAGTTGAAAAGTGGCTTTGAAAAGTGGAATGGTGATACATGTAATACACAAAAATGTCTGCCTTAAAAGCCCCCAAAACCGAAAGCGAAATAATGAGTTTCTCTTTACTGTTTGAATAAGTTGAATTGATTTTTTCAATAACCTAATGCGCCTTGAATACTTGCAGACTACTGCAGCAGGGTTCGAATCTGAGGTTTGTATCGATTATAATGTTTGGTTTTTCAACGTCGTACATAATGCCCTGCGAGGCTAATTCATAAATAATTTTAATATTAAGCTGACCCTCCATTAAATTACTTTCAAAGCGGTTGAATTAAATTCACTCAATATGAACAGAACATGTTAAATTCACGCATAATATATTAATGACATGCACATTTTCTTATAATCTCATGTCACCTCCAATATATAGGAATTTTGCTAAATAGGACGCAGGAACCACACAAGATCACCACTACAGACGGTACACTTAACGAATGTCAGTAGTTAGTCCAGCTGTACAAGGTCTTGCCTGACTACCACGGCATTAAATATTGCAAATACGTACAGGAGTGAGTCCTGTCTAGAGCCCCATTTTGAGTGACAAGCAGAGTTTGCTGACAAGGCGAGAGATTTCAATTAGCTATTTGCTCCGAGAAACAAAACCACCCGGCGAAGTTGTGTAGTTGAGAGGTAGACGTGTCGACAGTGAACTTCAAGGTAAGCTGTTCCCGATAGTCTAAACGTAGAAGGAGCACACCTCGCATAAACGCTTTATTGAATGTTATTAAGCATGAAATACTCATTAGTGTGAGTTATACAAATGGTATGTGAACTCATTCTCATTATGTACTTCTGTCAGAGTGTATATTAGTAATTTTAAATCATCGATATCATCAACCTTTTAACGTTAAGAATTTGTTTGTTGACGAAAATAATGTGTTCGATATTTGCGTGATTATTATTTTCGCGATAGAGTTATTGTTCTTACCTCTTTTGTGTTATTATGCTAGAAAAGAAATAGCCATTTAGAGTAAATAAATAAGTTCGTGTAAATCTATTCACACCTATCTACCCACAGATGATGTACAGAGCATTATTATGTCTGGCCCTATTCGTGGGCTCTGCATCAGCCTTCAGCAACAACAAGAATACAGAATGCGGTTCCTTCCAAATTAAACAGGCTGGCCGGTGAGAACTACATATATAGTATTTTAAATCCATACCTGCGCTGACGTAGTCGCACATTCATAATTACTTCAGCTTATAGGTACAATACCTTAATAAGTATACATACTACAGCTTATAAGTACAACAATACCTTAATAAGTATTACTACTACAGCTTATAAGTACAACAATACCTTAATAAGTATTACTACTACAGATTATAAGTACAACAATACCTTAATAAGTATTACTACTACAGATTATAAGTACAACAATACCTTAATAAGTATTACTACTACAGATTATAAGTACAACGATACCTTAATAAGTATTACTACTACAGCTTATAAGTACAACAATACCTTAATAAGTATAAC